AGCAGGGGGACAGGTACCAGGGGGGAAATAAGCAGGAAGCAGGTCCTGGGAGGGCAGGCAGCAGTGCAAGCATGTGGGGGAGGGAGGTAGGGAGGAAGGGGGCAGGAAGCAAGGTGAGCAAGGAACAGGAGTCAAGCTGTTTGACCCCCACCACCACCACCTGCCCCTCTGCAACTGTTTTCCCCACTGCAGCACTGGGGGTATGAACTTAAGGTGATCCAATAATTACATGTAAAAATATGAGTCACCTGCAATATGGGAAATTAAAACAAATTTATAAAATTTTCCATGTATAGAATCTAATTACGGGGGAGGAGGGTGTCTTCTAAAATTCAGTTGCCATGGAGTCAGATAAATATGGTAGTCTGAATGACCTAGAGTAAGAACTAGGAAAATCAACATATATTGCACACAAAGAAAAAAAGTTGAGTTTATTCGCACTGAAAGTGCCTTCTGTCTACGGTACACAGGAGCTGTAAATTGAGGTTTTGTAATAACTGGGTTTATACAAATGCCCTGCAATATGTGATCATGCTTTGCTGGTCACTTACCTACATGCACACATGTAGCCACCCCCCACTTATTGCGGCTCTCATAGGGTAGATACTATCTGAACTGCATTTCTGCAGCTGTGCAGGTCATAAAAAAATTTGACATTTTCGTTTAATGCATGTCATTTCAAAAGTTGAGCTATGCTACACTTATGCAACAGAAACAAATAGTACTGTGGGATGAGTATGTAAGGCATTACTTTTGATATTAGAAACCTTAGCATACTGTTCACAAAGCAACATCTAGGCCACAGTGCAGTGATATGTGCCTGCAAAAAAAAATAAAAAATTGTGCACCATCACAGTCACAAAAAGTATTTTGGTGATAATGGAAGCATGCATAATGGGGAAGGTGGGGAATTAGATGGGGAAAAAAACCCTATGTTTTCTGAAAAATCTTGAAGCTTTAATAGAGCTACTCTCAGCCATTAAGGGGAACTGTGTTTCTGAAACAGACTGCTCCCAATCTGACAGCCTAGTTCAACTAGCATTAAAGAATCATGCATTTGAACATTAAGCTGGGGTGCTCCAATATCAGTACTTATGGGCAAAAAGGATTGTAATGTCAGTCACAGTAAAACCTGGATTCAAACAGGGAAGATGTACCTTAGGGAGGAGTCAGACACATGTACCTACCCAGTACTGATCTCTTCACTGGAATTTCATGTGTGGCTCTAACTCCAAGTAAAGCTAGTCTTGGCATTTTTAAAGTACCCAGAAGGCAACTCCTTGCCTCCCTTTTTGTTTTTACTTGACCATGTTTGCCATATTAACATGTGCTGGGCCACCGATTAAAGTTTTGGGAAATTTTTGGGATACATTCCAGGTTTAAGTGGCTCATATTTTTACATATCAAGCACATGACCTATGATCTCCTTAGGTTTACTTCCCTCCTGCCACAAGGAAACCAGCATGTTTTAAACTTGGAAGACATTACATTTATGCACTTGTTAGAGTTGTAAAATATTAACCCACCGATGTTTGGAATCTATTCTGTACTCTGCTAAACACTAAACTGAGCAGTTCTCTGGGAAATGCCTTCTAATTTCCCTAAGATTTGTTGGCCAAGTAAAGATTCCAGAATTGAGCATGGTAATACATAACTATTTCAATGCAAGATGCATGAGCCCTATAGAAAAGAAGCGTCATGAAACTAGTGAGCTGCTAAGGTCACTGGAAGTGAGCAGGGTCCACACACTGCTAGATTTTCAAAAGCAACAGCTCTGAGAGGCTTTTACCCCCATGCTGATTTGGTGGGGACCTCATCTTAAAGTATATACAGCACTTGTTTTGCAAAGGTTTGGAAAGTAAGCGTGCAGTTATAAAAACAAAACTGGAATTTCACATACATGCAAGTATCAGAATAAAACCAGAAGCATTAAGCACAACACAATGCCCTTTGGCCAAGATCTTGCAATTGGCTCCATAAGGGCTGGTCAGAGAGATTTAAATAGGATTCTGTAAAGATGTAAAACATCTATCAATACTGCACTAGCGGAATAGGCTATCACTGGCAGTGGCAAAGCACATCAGAAGCATTAGTGATAAAATAGAAGTAACAATATGTGATATCACAATGTATAAGCAGGGGACAGCCAACTTCTAATAACTTCATTTGTGCATCCACTGTAGAATAAATTTAATCTCAAGGGCATGGCATCATCTGCTTCCTTTAATCATCTCTTCCTATACTGCTTATTTGATCTCTCCTCTGTGTGAAAACCAGCCAACTCACTAGTCTTCCATTCACTCCTTGGTCCTCTCTACGTGGTTTATTTTTCATTATCCTTTGCTATCTAATCAGCAAGAACACGTCACTCCATCCTTACCAACTTTACCACTCCTTTTCAGCTTGCTTTTTAAAAGATCACATATTATGTGGGCGTAAGGGTTCACTCGCAGATTCTTTTGTAAAGTCAGACTTAGTCTTTTATTCCAATCTACTTTTTTTTTTTAAATGTACCACCATTACTCATTGTTTCAAACAACCAGGCACTGTTATAAGCCTACATTTTAATAATGTTCTTATAGCAACATCTAGAAATAATTACCCTAGTACACACCTTCTCTTACAGTGCTTCAGAATTATAACAATTAATGAAGCAAGTACATGAAAGCTGTTTGCTTTTTTTTTTTTTTTTTTTTTTTTTATATATATACACACATGACAAAACACACTTGACCATAACTTTTTAAGACAACCATAAATGTTTCATACCACTTGGTTAGCAACTTTGGTTAAAACGAAGAGACCAACCTTTTGAAAACAAAATCTATCAATTTTTAGTGGCCATTTTTCAAGAGACTGTTAACCTTCCAAATTAAAAAAAATACCCAAAAAACAAAAAACCAGTGCTGCAGAGGGTATATTATTCTGATTTCAGGGAACTTAAAAATCAGAATTTCTTCTCAGGTATCAGTAATCCAGACAGTAAACTAAGATCAAGAAAAAAAAACGTCATTGACACATGAGCACAAAACTCATTGTGTTGATAATACCCTTTGATGTAATGCAAAAGATATTCACCAGTGTTTTAGCCACAATCTTTACATCAGCCATGGCTTAAATATTGATTCACTTTATGTTCTTATGAGCTGTAGCAATATTATAGAATTAGTTTAAACCATTTAGGGACCTGCCACACGTTCAAATTAAAGCTGTAAATTGTTACACATTTTCAAAGACTAACTTTGTAGCTGGTTGGCTCTTTTTATAGCTGGGTGGACATTTTTATGATGTGATAATTACTTTGCACGTGCGGCCAACCTTACTTGTACATGTGGCTGGTCTAAATTTATTGTGCAAATAATACAGGCAACCCTCGCTTAGAGCGGTTTCGCTTACTGCGGTTTCGTTATAATGCTCATTTAAAATACCTACCTAGTTTCGCTCAGCACTGAGCATGTTTCACTATAACGTTCAGCATGGATGTGGGGAGAAACAGCGGCGGCGGCAAGGGAAATGGCGAGTGGCAGCCTGCGGAAGCCCAGGGAGGGGTGGCAGGAGCCTGAGGTCCACTCCGGCACGTGGTGCTGGAGCAGGTGGGGAGGAGCAGTAGCAGTAAGAAGGGGAGGGTGGGGGGGGCCATGAGTTTGGAGCCCAGGCCGGCAGGGCCTGGGAGCGCAAGGTCTGCTTTGGCATGTGGTGTTGGAGTGGCCAGTGGAGAGGGAGGAGCGGTGGCAGCAGCAAGAAGGGACAGATGGGGGGCATGAGCACGGGGCCTGGGCCAGCAGGAGCCAGTGCAAGCCGAACCCACAGAGCTCCTCTGCCCCTGACCCTGCAGTGATCTGGCAGTGGCGGCTCGTCCCTGTGCCGGGTGCCCAGGAGGGAGCCCCCACTGCGCAAAGCAGGGTGTGGGTGGCCCCACTGCTTACTCCATACCAGAGCCCCGTCTCAGGCCCCATAGGCAGGGCAGCTGGGGCCATGCACAAGTGCACTGGTGGCCAGCGGGTGCGGGCCGGCAGTCGCCATCACGGCGGGGGAACAATGAGGCTGGGAGGAGCTGATGCCTTCCCTGGCAGAGCCCATGTAGTGCCTTGCTGGGAGCGGCCCGGCCAGGGCTGCCAGGAACACAGGGCCAGGATCAGCAGGGCCCAGGGTGGGGCTGCAGGAGTGAGGGGTCTGGGTTGGCGGGTGGTGCAGAACCAATTATCTTTATTTACATTAAATAATATGGGGAAATGGGTTCTGTTTAACTCTGTTTCACTTAGCGCTCAGTTTTTCCAGAACCAATTAGGAGCGCTAAGCAGGGATTGTCTGTATGTTAACTGCATAATATATGTAACTTGTGGCAGGAGCCTAATGTCTCTCTCTAAACTTTCACAAAAATAGAAGTAAAAACAAAGCTTTAGCTTTCAGAGAAAATCTAGGTCTGTTAATTTGGGGAAAAAGACTCAACTTAACTATATTTAAATAGAGCACATACAGAAAAAATAGTGCCCTTTGCACAGTTTGAGCACTCCAGTATTTTCAGCATTGCTAGCTAGAACCACCTAAAATTTAACCTGCTTTGCCTTCTGCACACATGATGAGAATAAATCCCTGATAGTAACTGTTAGGTCTTTACAGAAAATTATGAAAATACTGACCTTTCCTATGAGTTTTTTGGTGGGTTGTTCTTGTTTCGGTTCCTAAAGAAATAATTGCTGTCATCAGAGAAACAGGATAATTCAAAGAAATCTGAAGTGTTAATCAAACTCCTAAAATATAAAGAGTACTTTTCCACATTTAAAGAAGTTGTGTGGTATTCTTGTAAGACATTATATTCATGAACAGACACATCTAGAATAGATTTTCTTTTATTTATTTATTTTTTTTAATAGACTGCTGACCACTTCCTGAAATACAAATTCTTCAAAAAACACCTTTAGCAACTTTGATTTTAAGTCTTCCTGGTGCCAAACACACTTAAGTGCACTCCCAGGGAGGATCCGTGCCCCCCAGATCTGTGTGTTGGTGTTGGGTGGGGGTGGGCCCCCTGCCCTGCTGCCCTCCCACTAGAGCATCCTCAGCACAGTGGGCAGGAGCCAGTGTGGCAGCAAAGTGGGACCAGGCAGAGAAGCTCATTGGCAGCACTGCAAGACCCAGAATGCCATCCCATGCTTGCCCAGCAGTAGTGAGGGACATAATTGTGCGCCGCTACCCCTACTGCTGCCAGGTGGGCAGGGAGCATTTCTCCAGGGTGGTGCAGCGCTTGCAGTAGCAGGGAGCATCCCCTCCTGCCCCCAATCTGCCCTACCATGCCCAGTCCCAGCTCCTATGCTACAGAGGACCTGGGGGGAGGGCAGCAGGGCAGGGAGCCCAAGCCCACAGCAGGCATTCCCCCCCACCCCCCCCCAGAAGTGTATGCAACAGCACCCGGGAGCCAGCCCCACTAACCCACAGACAAGTAGTCCCACTCCCCACCAGGGCCCTGGAGCCATGCGTTCCAGCCCCAGATCCCAAGCCCCATGCAGTCCCAGCCCCGCCCAACTCACTCTCTCCCTCCCTATGGGAGCCTCAATCTCTCTTCTCTCCCCCTGTCAGACTTACTTGCAGTAGCTGCTCTGTAGGCATACATGCACATGGCACCCCCTGCCTGACCACCCTCCTCCTGCTCTCCCGTGCCTCTCAGAGGTTGGAACTTTGCCAACCTACAGAGCGCTCTTTGCAGAAGTGCAAAATCCATGCGTTTCTCCATTAAAATGAAAAATCCAATTTTTTCCCTGTTTTTCCATGGGAAACAGAAAACCCGGATCCCTGGTGATCACCTCTGCTTGGTGTTGTAGTTTGTCTGCTATGCATTCAGACAGTATTATATTAGCATTTGAAGTAAAAGACACCTGGAATAGTTTAATACATCCAAAATAAAACAGAAAAACAAACACCTTTACAGTTTATAGCTGCAGGCAACTTCAGTATTAGGAACAGCAATGTTTTTGTAACTTCCTGTCTGCAAGTCCATTAGAGAAGCTGAAACTGTTTCATACTAGCTCACAGATATATATCGTTGTTTTTATTTTTAAATGTTTTGAACAGTAAAGATTACCTGGAGGAGCAGTATGCTTGTATTCAATCTTGTGCTGTGGATTCTTCCTGCAAAGAAAAAACAGTAGAATAAAATAATGCCTGTCACTACACTCCACGTTTCATCAGTCCAGAAGTACTTGCCACAACAGAAAGTCATAAAACCACAGATGAACTGAGTGAAATTTAAAAATTTATCATCTGTAAATTCAAGTCACTCTGTAAATTCAAGTAAATTCAAGTTGCTCAGTTCCCTCAGTAAAACAGTAAAAAGAAACTTCCCACAAACAGACAAATATTTTTTTTCTCCTGAAACAAGCTACATAAAACTGTCTGTGGCTTTCCATAATCAGCACTAAAATAACTATATATCTATAATACTTTAAGGCAAGGATCAGCAACATACAGGCCACAGGCCGGATGTGACCCACAGAACTGGAGGACTTTGCTTCTCTTGGCCCTGGCCCAACATGGGCTGCTGGTTTTGGCAGTGTGCCAGTGGAAAGCAGGGAGCAGATAGCTGAGCCCACATCACCACCATGTCTCCCAGCCCTCCACTCTCCTTTTTAATGTATGCTTTCTTGGTGTCCTCAGCTGTGAAGCGGGGAGATACTATTGTGACCACTTTCTACACAGGAACTTTGGGTGCATACACACGTACTAAGTCAACTTAAAATAAGCTGACTTAACTACAATGACTGAAGATAAGCCAAGTCAGAGCATACACATGTACAGCATCTGGACAGGATGGCAGCCATCTTGCATTAGTTAAGCTGACTTAGCTCACAATGCAAAATAATACATCTCAGAGGTGTATTATCTTGCACTGCATTTAAGTTGACCCAGGTCCACATAAGGGTGTATGCTCTGACAGTTAAGTTGACTTAAAAAAACTTCAGTCAGTTTAACTGTCAGAAAGTTAGTGTGCATGTACGCACTCTTTGGCACAGAAATATAACGTGACTTGCTCAAAATGCCACTAAGCTTATAGCAGAGCAAGGAACTGAACTCAAGTCTCCAGACTAGTAGAGCAGTGCTCTAACTGATGGCCGTCCGTCTCTTATCAGCTTGTCCACCGTTTTTTCAGGAGAGGTTATTCCTGTTTTGAAGAGTTTGACAGCCCATGTAATTACTTTTTGAATGGGACAGAAAAACATGCCACTCAACAAGGAGTCAACTTCAAAAGCCACTGTTCATAGCTCTGTACTAATTTTCTCGAAGGTAAGCCTGCAAACTACAACAAAAATACTTCCCTATAAAACATAGGGACATTACATGGTTCTATTGCTTACTATATTTAAATATTTCTACACAAATTAGCTATTTTACAAATAAAAAATTAAAACAGTTGCTGGTAGAGAGAGTTTCTTTGTTTTGCCTCCCAAACTATCGCCCTCTAAAAGTCAACAGGATTGTAAGTCAATGAATGAGCACATAAAGCAGAAAAAGCCTATCACTACAAACAAATACCTGTAAGTAAGCAGGACCGTGCTTATGCTAAAATACTCTGCTGAATAGGACCTGAATTCTCAGTACCTCATAGGACTGAAATTTAAAACATCAAAACAACTTAAAGAACATTTTGTTTAGAAGTGCAGTTGCATAGCAGTGCTCTTAGACTTTTTGGTGTAGCATAGTTTTCAATTCCCAAATAAATGATGATGTAAAGAAGAAAAATAGCGCACTAATTACATAGATCAAAGTAATGTAGAAAATAATCAGTTTGCTATTTAGCAATATAAAAGTAGATTAGAAAGATTTTCCCACTCTACTGGGGGAAGCCTTTTTTCAGTTTTTATTTCTTTCTATCACACAAACCGCTGTCCATCATTAAGCCTACTAAAATCAGAGAACTGATTATTCAACATTAATGACTAGGCAGCAATAAAAAAAATAAGTAGTGATAGTCTCTCACAAATGGAATGTGTACAGCAGGTATCATAAAACTCCACCAGTCAAAGGAATCCTTGCAAAAATGTATGTAAAGATCCTGAAAACCTGCAGGATGTCCAACTTTTGGCTGCAATTCAACAGCATGCACCTATATTAGCAGAATTAAAATGACATGAAGCCAGAGAGTATGAAGAGCTATCCAGCTTCCAGGGTAAAGGAGATAACGTGTGAACTAGTATACAGCAAATATTACTGCTTTCACTCAAAAGGTGTATTTTTAAAGATAAACAAACAATAAAAGGTAATGGTTAATGCTAGGCATTTATTACAGCCTAAATCTAAAAAGTTTCTGAAGTTTTATTCATAAATATTCTCAAACTACTAAGCCCGTGATGAATTTGCAAAAAAGTTTAAATAAAATCGTTTGATCATTCTTTACCTCTTCATTTAACGTATTATTAATGCAGCTTCAATGGTCTTTGGATCTAATCTTTGTGCCACAAATTTGAAGGACACATTTTAACTAGGCCTGGGCAAAGTGGCTAGGTATTCGCTCCGGATTCAGCCGATTCGGGGGACAGTGATTCGATTCAGTGATTCAAATCACAGTCCCAAATCGATTTGGCCGAATCCGATTCAGAGATTCAGCTGCAGCCAAATCTCCAAATCAGCCCCACTCCCACCTGCTCTCAATGGCTGCCCCACCCGCTCTCTCAGCTCTTTAAAAAAACAAAAAAAAAACAACAACCCCCAACTCATCGGTCACCAGCTCTTGCCAGGTGGGGGAGCAAGATCCATACTGCCCCATGCTGCGTGGAGGGCTCTGCCATGAGCCCCCAGAAGTCCTGAGGCTGCTGCAGCAGCTGGTGAGTACGGGGTTTTGTTTTTGTTTGTTATTTTTAAAGAGCCAGGAGCTGGGGCAGGCAGGGCAGCCATGGAGGGGGGAGGCTGGGCAAGCAGGCAGGGGATGGGACTGGGCGGGGTTTCCCCCATGGAACCCCTCCCCCTTCCTCCAGTCCCCCCTCCCCTGCCCCCTACTTACCAGCATGGACTCCAGGTCCATCTCTCTGCTGCAGCAATCAGGGACTGACCAAAGCGCCAATGCCTTCTGAATCTTTTCTGAATCGATTCAGACCTTTCCATTGGTCTCCTGATTCAATTCGGATTCAGAGATTCAGCTGCCAAAACAGGCCGAATCTCCTTCGAATTGAATCAGCCACCTGAACCTTCGCACAGCCCTAATTTTAACCTTTCATAATAAAATGTACAGGTTTCAAGATTTCACATCACATTTACTGTATAATAATTTTTCTCCTCTGGAAGAAAAAACAAACAAAGCCCAATGCTTCCTCCAAGGCCACAAAAGCACAAAACTTAATATTCTTGGGTTGCCAGATCTCCATAGTGAAAAGCTCATCTAGGCATTCTGTTCCACTAGAGATCATCTCACCCCTTTCTAGGGATTATATTGTACCGGGACAATGGAGCACAGTTGTTAATCTGCCTTTAGAAAAGACTTTCACAGCCCTACGGTGTCTGAATTGTAGATTAGTTTTGTGAGGTGTTTGTTACAAAATAGTTTGTGGTTTTTGCTACCATATTTACCTGCATCTAAGATGATCCCCAATACATGTATACATGTTACAATTTTCTATGTGTAGTATAAAATTATTGGAGGGCTGTATTTAATTCATCCCTCCCCTCCCCACCATGTCTGCATAGGGGCAGGTCAAACAACTTGCCCCCTGCTTGTGCCTACCCCATTACTACCTCTGCCCCCCACCACAGCCTCCCCTTCCCCTCCCCTCTAACCACTGCACCTCCTGTACCCTTGCTCAGAAACAGTAGGCTTCATCCTCATTCTAGCCTGGGACAATAAATGTGGCCCCAGCCCAGCCCCTAAAGCAGCTGTGCAGGCTGTGTGCTACTATGGGGCTGGGTTGGGCCCTTGCTCAGTGCCCTAGAATTCAGCACAGACAGAGCTGTGCTGGCACAGAGCAAAGATAAGGAGGGAAGGGAGAGGGGCCAGCACAAGAGCAGAGGCTGCATAATAGAAGGAAAATGAGTGGGCAAGAGGCTGCAAGGGGAAGATGTCAGGGGGCAGATGTAGCAGGGGAGAGGGGCAGGTGGCACTTGCAACTACAGCCCCAACCCCAGGTAAGGGCTGGAGCCTGAGCCACAGCAGCCACCTCCGTCCTCTCCCCCCATACTTTTTTCTAAAATGAGGGGCTTTCCACCCCTGCGTCCCACCCCAGTGCTAGGGGGGAAACTTCATCTTAAAACCTAATATGGTAGCACATTGCATTTTTAGCAGCATATGAAGGAAACTAAGTTAAATAGTGTTCATATAATTATGCTTTTAGATGCATACACATGAGATTTTGCAACAGAATTAATCAGGTCAATTTTAAAATGAGTAATTTTTTTAAACAAACTTTTTTTTGCTATATTTAAGAACATTTGACAAATCTTTATTTTGGGGGGACTTTTTTCAACAGTTTAGTATTAGGAACTGAATGCATCTTTTTCCTCAAGGGACAGAAAATGAAATGTTTTCAATTTTACTAGGTATTTAAAACTATAATGGGTTTTTAGGTCAATGTGCAACGGCTTCAAAACTGGATGTGTGGGTGCTGAGTATCCACTCTCTCATTGCTTTCAGCTGGAATTGGCAAGGCTCAGCTCTTTCAAAACTTCTTGCTTAGATTTTTATTTCAAGATGCAAGAGAACAATGATCTCACTTCAGTTATTCAAGACACAGATTGTCTGAATTATGGATATTTTATTCAAGCCAGATATACAAAAAGTGTTCAGTAGCTTTAGAACTCAATGTTTGTACTAAGCAGCACAACCTCAAGATAGAAGAAAAGCTGAAAGTATTTCTTAAGGAATAAACTTTGGTCTTGTGAATAGCTGCTAGACACTTTGTTCTGCTACAGCAGACAGGATAACACATTCCCCCCAGAAATCTCTCTGAAATGGGCATACTTCCAGAATAAAAAGAACATTTTCACAATCTGACCTTTGGCTCCATTCAGAATACTGGCAAAGACAACAACGACAATTGGGGAAATTTCAGAGCCCAAAGATCCACAATCACATTGCATTTACTCACTCCAATTCTGTTCCATAGTTTAAAATTTGAATTTTAAATTTTAAACTCTTCCTCAGTATG